GAACCTGGGCGGCAGAGGTTGGCAGTGAGCCGAGATCATGCCACTGCACTCCAACTTGCATGACAGAGTCAGACTCTGTCTCAATAAAAAGAAAAAAAAAAAGTATCTGTGAACACTCCACAGAACGATCCTGCAAAATGGGCCAGTCTCATGCAAAGGGACTTTTTCACAATCACTCTCATTGTGTTTCTGGTGTAAGAACCTTAAGCTAAAATCACCTTTTTCTGATGGAATTTTGGTCATGGGCAGTATGAAAATTAAAGGCACAATTCAAAGACAGGGAGCGGTGACTGCATCGGATGGATGATAAGCCAGAGAAAATAGCAGCCAACAACCCTTACATATAGTGTACCTGGCCCTGTGCTAAAATGCTGTGTCATGTTGCCTCATTTAAGCCTCAGGACAAACTTCTGAGTGAAGTGCCATCATTACTCCTGTTTCTAGCTGAGACAAAAAAAAAAAAAAAAAAAGTAGAAGTTAAAAGAAATGACCAAGGAAAGTTCTCCGTGTGCGTTAAGTTTTCTATGTGGGATCCCCTGGAGAGTGGGGATCCTGACTTATTTTTCTCAGTCTCCCCTGGCGCTAGCCAGAGTGCTCAATTCATATCACTAAATGATTGTGAAAGGGAAGTAAATGTAGATTTCTGGATTTTTCATTCTATCAGGTGAGCTTGGAGGAATATGCTTCAGCAAGAGGCCACATGCTTTACCTCACAGGTGACAGAGGGATCATGCATGAAGACGGCTACTTCTGGTTGTCTGGTAGAGCTGATGATGTTGCCAATGCATTGGGTCAGAGATTGTGAATGCTGTGGTTATTGCTATTGAGCCTGGGGCTGTGGGAGTCTGGAGAAGACTCTGGGCTGCTTCCAATACATAGGAATCTCTCTAAAGTTTAGAAAATGCAAACAACCAAAAAAAAAAAAAAAAACCTCATCCACAATCTCATATTTTGGAGTATATTCTTCTAATCTCCTTTCTTCTTATATGTAACCTTTTTTTTTTTTCTTTTTCTTGGTAGAAGTGAGTTCAGGGAGAAATGCTCTAGCATAACTTGCCTTTTTCACTCAACGATGTAACAGAAATTTTTTTCTGTGCAATTAAATATAAAAATTCACTTTTTAAATTAGTTTATCATGACCGCTAAGTACACAGATCTTACATGAATAGCTCAATGGATGTCTACACACATACACACCCCTGTAACCATCTAGATCAAGATATAGGATACTTTTTGCCTCCTGGGCTCTCTCATGTCCTCATACCTCTGTGCAAGCTGTACTTCTTTCATGAACTTTGGACTGAATTTCTATGCCTAAAGACAATTTCAGAGATTGAGAAAAGAAGACTAAATTCTAAGGAGCAATAAATTCCAAGGGCAGATGGTGGCAAGTAGATACCATGGGTCATCCTGATTCAGAGCTTGCTGACCACAAAAATCACAGGAATATTGAGAAACAGAAATCAAGATCTAGGCTTTACGGACTCATTGCTATTACATGCCACTGCTCCTGAGACGTGAGTCCAAAAACGTGCTTTCTCACCACTATTCCACTCTGATCCTTGACCCAATTAAACAATCCCAACTAAATTTTGCTCAGGAAGTCTCTCTCCCTTGAACACTCCTTGTTGCAGCAGCAGTGAACGAAGTGCTTGCCTCTGCCTCTAACTGCTATCAATTTTTGAGTCCCTCCCCCATAAGTAGCCATTATTCTGACTTCTAAAGTGCAGGTCAAATTTGCCTGTTCCCGAACTTCATATAATGGAATCATACAGTTTGCACTCTTTTGTGTCTGTCTTCTCACAAAATAATGCCTGGACAATTCATTTATGTTGTTGTATGGATCAACAGTCCATTCTTTTTCATTGCTATACAGAATTCCATTATATGAATACACGCAGAATTTATCCATTCTTATGTTAATGGTGACTGAGGTTGTTTCCAATTTAAGAATGCCTCCTTTGCCCAACACCGCCGCACCTGGGAAGTTAAGCATTTTCTCTCACCCTTGGGATTGAGTGTATGGGTGGTTGAGAGGCGTCGATTCCCAAGACCCTGTCGCAGCTCTCACAGCAGGCGTCACAAAAGAGTTTGCACCACTCCAAACAGTCAAAACGGGTCATCCCCCCCACCTCACCCCCGCCTTCTCTGGATTTTAAAGACTGAGTAGGAGGAGAAAATGGGGACGGAGCTCCCCTGGTTAATTCATTTATCTTAAGTTCCCGTAACCAAACTAGGCCCTCAGTTGAGGCCTTTGACCCTCAAAGTTCTTTCCGCTTCGTACAGTGAGATCAGAATCCCTGAAAAGAAGATGTTTGCCCTCCCCGGCTTACCATCCTTGGGCACTCAGCAGTGCGGGGATGCGGCTGCCCTATTTCCCGCGTAGAAACAACTGCAGGTGGCGCCGCCCGCTGAAGAGTGCAGAACTGTGGCCCTGAGCCAAGCTGGGGCAAATATGGAAGACGCGGGATGAGAGAGGGTGGGGCGAAAGGACGCTATGAAGATTCCTGGAGGGAGGGACCAGAGCAGAGGCAGTGAGTGGCAGGAGGAGGCAAATGTTCCCGCGACCGGGAACTTTATCGGGTTGAAGTTTCCTCTGCCGTCGCCTCCCGCTGGCGAGCAGAGCTGAACCTGGTGTGCGGCCTTTCTGGAAAGCAGGTCGCCACTATCCTCGGCGTGGGACGCCGGCCCGCAAGGAGCCTCGGGGACTCACGCATCGCCGCGCCTCAATCTGGCTACGCATTGCGCCTCTGCGGCGCATGCGCAGCTCCGTCCCCTTCAGAAACGCGCGTGTGCTCGTGGAGGGGGCGCTTCCTCCAAAAGGAAAGCCAGAGGCGGCGCTCAGGCCTAGATTGCCTCGCCAACCCCCTGCGCCCTTTCCTACAGACTGGTGCATAGTGTTTTTAAAACATCTGCGAGGATGACGTCTTCTCTGCGAGCCTGGGGAAGGGGCAAAACCAGGGGAAGAAGTGAGATGTATCCAGTTAACCAGGTAGAAATTGTACCTCCGAGACTCATCAAGGCTAAATATAAAAGTTGCGTGCTTTTTTTTTGTTTTTTGAGACTGAGTCTCGCTATTGTCATCCAGGCTGGAGTGTAATGGCGCAATATCGGCTCACTGCAACCTCTGCCTCCTGGGTTCAAGCGATTCCCCTGCCTCAGCTGCGATAGATTACAGGCGCCCGCCACCACGCCCGGCTTTTTGTTTTGTTTTGGTTTGGTTTTTTTGTTTTGTTTTTTTAAGTAGAGACAGGGTTTCACCATGTTGGCCAGGCTGGTCTCTAACTCCAGACCTCAGGTGATCCACCTGCCTCAGCCTCCCAAAGTGCTGGGATTACAGGCATGAGCCACCACACCTGGCCAAAAGTTGTGTGTTTACCAGGGACAACCCTCTGCTTTGAGTTCTCCCTGAGCTGTGAATCTCCTGTTATTACTAATCTGTCTACAGATGAGTAAACTAAGGTTCAGAGAGATTACATGACTTATCCATGTTATACAGTGATCAAGAAGTGGAGCCAGGATTTGAACCCATGAAGTCCCACTCCAAATTCTTTCATATAACTTTACACGGAAAAAAATTTAGATAAGATGTTCAGGTGCCCTCTTTCCTGCCTGCTTAAAAAAAAAAAAAAAAAAACTGAAAGAATTTTTTAATTGTTTTTGTTTTCATAATTGATCATTGTGTGGGGAGTACTGATTCCCCAAGTGGGTCACAAGGAGTTACCCTGAGCAGGAATGGGCTTGCTGTCCCCCTTGCTTCTGTACTCATACAATCTATCTCTTGAGGACACAGCACCAAGTAAATTTCACCGATTGAGTGTTCCTACGTTCTAGAAAATGGCACTCTACACTCACAAGGGCACGTATATAAATTGGCATTTCAACTATGTCTTCAGGCCATACCATCGCTCTTTTATGCTGGCCATTTCTGGGTGGTGCAGAATGTGATAGATCCAGTGGACTCCGTGGTCATGTGCCCACTGCTGTGCCTCCTTTGCAGTAAAATGGGTCCTTGGTCCCACAAGGCCGTGTGGGATCCTGCGCTAGTGGATCTAAAGGTCTTTATGTCCTCAGAAAGTGTTGTGCTTGAGGCCCTGTGGACAGCAAAGGCAAACCCAATATACTATATGGGTCTATTTCTGACTAAATACATAAATCATTGCACTTTCCAAAATGGAAGGGATCTAAGCTAGTCAGCTTGCCACCAAGTGGCTTAGCTGGTGTCTTCAAAGGATAGCACTGTTCAGTTGGTCATTCTTGCTGGAAGGTTAAACATTTGGCAGCAGCAATAGCTAGATTGGCCTTGAAATAAAAGCCCATCTTTACTGCAACCACGTAGAGCCTCCATCGCCGACAATCATGGCTACTCCACCCACGCACCCATTATGCCAACATAGGGGTCGCCAACAACAGGCTGGCTCATGTCCATTGGCTAATTCATTTTGTCAACCTGATCCCTTACTGTCTCTTCCATGGTTTATTCCAATGAGGGTTAACAGAGGTCCATCCACATTCTTCTACTCCAGACCTCCTTGTCCTGATCTTCTCATCTTTCCCCTCTGATCAGCCAACCATGTCATTCACCACTGTCCATAAGTCCAGACACATTTATACTGAAGCCACTCCTCTTGCCACAGAAAGTAGATCATTAGGAACACTACCGGAAGCTCTGCCCAGTGGGAGGACTTCTTTTCTTCTTACAAAGCCAGCTCAAGAAGTACAGCAGTGCAGCCACCATTTCAGCATGCCCCCACATGCCTAGCCAACTTATCCATGAATCAAGTGTGGGCTTCCTCTTCCACCATCTGCTGCTCATATGGGATCCCCTATCAGCCATGGGGAAGAGCTGAGGGAGGGGCACAGCAGTAGACAGCATGAGGATCCAGGCTTCTGTGCTCCTACAGTTCACGTATTTCCTTCAGCCCTGCTCAAGTCGTCCTTCCATCTCATGAGGGATTGTTCTTGGAGATGCCTGACCTTCTGACCTAATGAGAATGAGAGAACCCAAATCATGATGAGCAGTTCTGCCACCTGATGTCCCATGGTCAGGGGCTTTGTCTCTATCCAAGCTATGGAAGAATGGCAGGAATTATGTTATGAAAAGCATAAAGTTCTGTACTGCAGATGGTAGTCTTGTTCTAGAACCCAAGGGGCTTGGGTTTTTATTCTCCCACTGGTTCACCATCTTGAAAACTCTGACATCACAGGATCTCCTAGATCATATGAACCAAGCACAGAGCCACTTCTACCACAGCCTGCACCGGCTGCAGATGACTTTTCTGCTCTGGGCCAGATTAAAACTGGCAGCCTTGAAGGGAAGCAGAAATCCAAAATGTCTTTAAGATGGGTTTAAAGTTGTGTTGTTCAATACAGTAGCCACTACCCCCATGTGTCTACTGAGCACTTGAAATGTGGCTTGTGACAAATGTTGACACCATAATACAATTGTGTTCGCAGCCGCCACCGCGCCGCCGTCGCTCTCCAACGCCAGCACCGCCTCTCACTCGCCGATTTCCAGCCGAAGGAGAAGGGGGGTAAGTAAGGATGTCTCCGTACTATGGCTCGTACAAAGCTGACTGCCCGCAAATCGACCGGTGGTAAAGCACCCAGGAAGCAACTGGCTACAAAAGCCGCTCGTAAGAGTGCGCCGTCTACTGGAGGGGTGACGAAACCTCATCGTTACAGGCCTGGTACTGTGGCGCTCCGTGAAATTAGACGTTATCAGAAGTCCACTGAACTTCTGATTCGCAAACTTCCTTTCCAGCGTCTGATGCGAGAAATTGCTCAGGATTTTAAAGTAGATCTGCGCTTCCAGAGCGCAGCTATCGGTGCTTTGCAGGAGGCAAGTGAGGCCTATCTGGTTGGCCTTTTTGAAGACACCAACCGGTGTGCTATCCATGCCAAATGTGTAACAATTATGCCAAAAGACATCCAGCTAGCACGCTGTATACGTGGAGAACGTGCTTAAGAATCCACTATGATGGAAAACATTTCATTCTCAAAAAAAAAAAAAAAAAAATTCTTCCTGTTATTGGTGGTTCTGAACGTTAGATATTTTTTTTCCATGGGGTCAAAAGGTACCTAAGTACATGATTGCGAGTGGAAAAATAGGGGACAGAAATCAAGTATTGGCAGTTTTTCCATTTTCATTGGGTGTGAATTTTTAATATAAATGCAGAGGCATAAAGCATTAATGCAAGTTAAAATGTTTCAGTGAACAAGTTTCAGCAGTTCAACTTTCTAATAATTATAAATCTGTTAAATTTTTCTGGACAATGCCAGCATTTAGATTTTGTTAAAACAGGTAAATTTTTTATTGATGGCAACTAAATGGTGTTTGTAGCATTTTTATCATACAGTAGATTCTATCCATTCACTATACTTTTCTGAGTTGTCCTACATGCAAGTACATGTTTTTAATGTTGTCTGTCTTCTGTGCTGTTCCTGTAAGTTTGCTATTAAAATACTTTATTTAAAAAAAAAAAAGAAATGAGAATACTTTGGATATATAGCATTATATAAAATGTATTATTGGCTAGGCATGGTGGCTCACACTTGTGATGTCAGCACTCTGGGAGGCTGAGGTGGGCTAATCGCTTGAGCCCAGGAGCTCAAGATCACCCTGGGCAACATAGCGAAACCCCATCTCTATTTAAAAATATAAAAATTATATTTTTTTATATAATTTCCAAAACGGAAGGGATCCAAAATAAATAAAACTTATATATATTAATATATATATATATATAACTGTTGAGAGCAATTTGTGATTTGGCCTATTTTTTTGTGCATGTGTATAACTACAGGCATGGTGGCTTATGCCTGTAGTCCCAACTACTCAGGAGACTGAGGTGGGAGGATCACCTGAGACCAGGTCAAGGAAGCCATGATTGTGCCACTGCACTCCAGCCTGGATGACAGAGCAAGACCTTGTCTCAAAAAAATAACAAAGAGCGTTATTGGCCAGGCATGGTGGCTCATACTTGTAATCCCAGCACTTTGGGGGCCAAGGTGGGTGGATCACAAGGTCAGGAGTTCGAGACCAGCCTGGCCAACACAGTGAAACCCCTTCTCTACTAAAAATACAAAAATTAGCAGGGCATAGTGGTGCGTGCCTGTAATCCCAGCTACTTGGGAGACTAAGGCAGGAGAATGGCTTGAACCCGGGAGGTGGAGGTTGCAGTGAGCCAAGATTGTGCCACTGTACTCCAGCCTGGGCAACAGAGCTAGATTCCGTCTCAAAAAAAAAAAAAAAAAAAAAGTATTATTACAATTAATTTTACCTGCTTTTCTCTTTTCACATTGCTACTAGAGAATTTTAAATTACATTCATGCCTTGCATCATACTTCTATTTGACAGCAATGAAGCAGCAATCACCCATTTACAGATTTACCTAGCTTGTGGACTATCTGCCACTTGTGAGGTACTGAGCTGAGTGCCCAGGAGAAAAAGCTGAAAAAAGACAAAGGATCAGCTCTCATGGAAGCTTCTTTCCTTTCAGGAGATGAGTGATTAGTGTCTTGTGTGATGCATGCCAAGAAGGATGTGTCCCTTGGGTATGGGAGCATAGGAGAGTGGCATCCAAGTCATGCTGGGCAGTCAGGAAGCCTGTCTGGAGGAGGGGGTGGCTCAATCTCGAAAGACCACAGAACTTTATTAAACGTTAAGTAATCCAGAGGTGCAGGAAGAGCATACCAAGTCAGAGAAAACAGCTTGACCAAAGTCTGCATGACTCTGGCTGACTTTTTCCTTTTCAGGAAATTTTCTGAAAGCTTAGTAATCAAAGATGGCTACAGAGTTAGACTGTTCCTTCCAATCTTCTTTCCTTTTAGAGGAAGCATGAAAGAAAAACAATCAGATAAATATGGTAGGCATGAAGCACAAAAAAATAGGCCAAATCACAAATTGCACTCAACAGTTTTTTTTGTGTGTATATATATTTTTTCTTTTTTTTTCTTTTCTTTTTTTTTTTTTTTTTTTTTTTTGAGACAGTCTCACTCTGTTGCCCAGGCTGGAGTGCAGTGATGCGATCTCGCCTCACTGCAACCTCTACCTCCCAGGTTCAAGTGATTCTCCTGCCTCAGCCTCCGGAGTAGCTGGAACTGCAGGCATGCACCACTACACCCAGCAAACTTTTGTATTTTTAGTAGAGACAGGGTTTCACCATGTTGGCCAAACTGGTCTGAAACTCCTGACCTCAAGTGATCCACCCGCTTCAGCCTCCCAAAGTGCTGGGATTACAGGCGTGGGCCACCACACCTGGCAAAGCAGTAAATATTTGTATGTGCCAGATGCTGGGGGCCAAAGGGAAGGGCTTCTTTGCCACATCACACAGCTTGCACTTAGGGGTGGTAATGCTGACAATTCTGTTTCATATATTCAATCAGGAAATGAACTCCTCGTACAGGCTATATTGAATAGTAATAATGGTCACCTGAAGTTTTTGGTGTTTGGCCTCCCCTGGAAGCAAGATATCTGTATGAAAGACCCACACCTAAGAAGTAATACTGACAAATGTCAGACATTTGATTGGCACAGTATCTGAGGAGAGGGATTAGAGAAAGTTCTAAGAATCTATGACTCATCTATTCTGTACAATCAAAATCCAAATCATAACTGTTAATGTCTTTGTAAATGAGTCAGACCTGCTGTGGTTCAGAGACTTTTCATTTTATGTTGATTTCTAAGAATTGCAAAGTTTAAGCCTCCTTGACTTTTACAAGCGTAGAAACAGATGGAGTTTAAAGAAAGAACTCATTAACTGCCAAAAAAAAAAATTGAGAGCTTTAACATGACATGATTTTCTGCCTGAACAGTTTAGTTCTGCTTGTTGTGGCACTAAAACGGCTCATGTGCATAAACTGTCCATCATACATTCTGGCTTCAGAGTCTGTGGTATGAAATCCTGGTACAGATTAAAATTCTTACGCTTAGAGTATGTACCGCGTTAGTGCATTCATAATTAAAGGTCATGAACGATTACTGAGGGTGGTGGGCATGCTCAAGAATAGACGATTGCTCCTTTGGAGGAAGGAGGGTTGCCTGGAGTACCCTGTCTGCCTCTCATATAACTTAGTCTCAGTGTCTGGAGGGATGGGGGCACCACTGTTTGCTCAACTGACCCTATGAGGGATTAGTCACCAGGAGATGAACTGTGGTGACCTCAGATCTTGACTCAGGACTCTTTCTTAGCAGCCAGGGTCCCCAGTCTCCTCTGTGAGGAGGACACAGTGGCCATGTCCTGGCCTCTCTGCTGCTGCTGGACACTTTCCTGAGGTTGCTGCCCCTCACAAAGGGGAGCAGCTGTGATGTCAGCAACCAGACTGAAGAGGGACTTACTAGGGAATGTTTCCAAGCCAACTGCTAACGCTCCCACCTATTATTTGGGAAGCATTCATTTCCTCAGATAAGCCTCAGAACAAGCCCAATGCAAAGAAAACTTCATTTCATTAAAACAGAGCTAGGTATCTTATATTAGCATTAGAGAAAGAGGATTTCAAGTAAGCTTCAAAGAAATATAAGAACAGAGCTTGTTAAGATGCAAGTTGTGGGGGAAAGGCCAGTAAATCTGAGAGAAACAAGAAACCCAAAACAAGAAGACAGGCCTCAGAACTCTCATCAGGCTTCAGTAGGAAACGCCACACATGATCAGATGACAGACACCACACTGCTTTGAAGTCTATAAATTTATTGAGTAAAAACAAAATCAACGTCAGACACATTTGATTGGGTTCAAATTTGGCTGATGTCCAAATGCAGCAGAGAAGAACAGAGGGGAGGAAGGGACATGGTGTTGCTGACAAGGGGACACTGAACAAAACAGTTTTCCTTTCATTGTAAAAGCAAGCATCGCACAGCTGGTGTGAGTCAATTAACCAAGGCGGGGAGGGAACTCAATGTTTTAGAAGCAGAGGGAAACCCAAAGTAAGCAGAGACTTTCAAGAGAGGAGAGGGCCAGAACACGGAGAGAAAAAGCTGCAGCAAAGGCCGGCTGGAGAACAGTGGTCAGATCTGCTGGGTCACTTGGGGAACACGGTGACCACTTCATAGCCCTCAGGTGGTGTGACTCGCTCCCGGGCATGCTTCTCACAGTAGATTTGATCCTCCACAAAGAAATGGCCCTTCTGTTTCAGGTTGGTGCCACAGTCAGTGCACACGTAACACTCAGGGTGGCGGTGATGGTCCCGCAGCTTCACGAACACACCGCTACAGAAGCAAGGCAGGGAAAGGACTCCATCAGTGACAAGCATCTGCAGGTGGCACCCGAGCAGGTGGCACCATCCTTCCTGAGCAGGGGCCTGGGGCTTCTCCCAGAAACCAGGGCCTCCCAACTGGCCTCCAATCATAAGGGACTTGCTTCTCCTTCCCAGGGTCCAGAGACATTTTTCCAAAAACCCCTCCTACTTCAACAGGGCAGCCCTGATTTTTCTCATTTTACATGTTCATAACCTAAGGGCTCCACAGTGAAGGAAAACCTTCACAACCTGGCTCTGGGACACAGGACATTCCTGGCCTCTCTGCTGCATTTTTCTGGGATGGATTTGTCCCCTTCACAAGCAAAATGTGCAACATCCAGCACTTTCCACATTTTCAAGGTTTACCCAACCTGCAGGGTCTACAAAGGCTGTGGGAAGCAGATACTCACACAATCCCAGTGCCACATTTGTCACACATAGGCAACTTCTGAGCATTTCCAATCGATGCAGCCACTTTAGTGACAGGAGCTTTAACACTTCTGAATCCTGAGGGCTTGTTGGGATCCCCTGAAATGAGGAAAACACACTCATTGGCCAGGAAGAGCAGAATTGCTTAAGTATCACTCAGTTCTTCAGAAGCAGTTATAAATATATGTTCAAGAAAGGCCATGGGAACTGGAGTGACTCTGCTGTGTGATTCTGGGCAAGTTACTTAACCTCTCTGGTCCCCAGTTTATTTTTCTAAAAAGCAGGAGATTGACACCTAGCCAAAAAAAAAAAAAAGCCCAAAAAGCCAAGACAATCCTAAGCAAAAACAACAAA